AGCTTGCCTTCGCTTGCCCCGTCCCACCGCCCTGCTCACCGTTGTGAAGCATATTCCGATTTTACGAATGGTCCATGTCACCATTAAGAAAAAGAGGTCGGAATAGGCTAATTTATATGTGACCTGTCTCTGGATCAAGGGACTTTCCTTCTTGCAGTTCTCCAAGCTCAAGGTTTTCATCTGAACTAGACAGATGCTTAACTCAGAATCAACCCCAGTCAGTCCATCATTTGGAAAATAAAACTTTAGAGCCATCATGCCCAAAAATGGCAATTAGGGATTCCGTTTAGGCAACTGCAACCTTGGTTTAAGGAGCCATTTTGTGCCTAGCTTATATATCTGAGTTTCTAGCACTGCTCTCGTGGGATCTCAATATCCAAGGTATTATTCTCATGGTGAAACTGGATGGCACCACAGCGATTATTTTTAGGGCACGTGGCTTCTGCTGCAGACTGTGAAACCGTCCACCGCCCGGATCAAGTGGCTTAAGGAAAGAAAGTTCTCAAAGTTCTTAACCCAGCTCAAGTGTTGTCATCTGAACTAGGCAGAAATCTAACTGAGAATCAATCCCGGTCAATCCATCATTTGGATTGGAAAATAAAACTTTAGAGTCGTCTTGCCCCCAAACGGCAACTAGACATTCAGTTTTGGCAACTGCAACCTTGGTTTAAGGAGCCATTTGGCGCTTAGCTTGTAAATCTGAGTTTCTAGCACTGCAGGTCACATAAAGGAATAAAGTAGCAGCAATGCCTCACTGGATAGCAAGAAGGCTAGATTCAAGTACGGCACCAAATTTAAGGGATACTGAAAAAGCAATCCAGTGGAGAGTTAGAAGAGCATTTCCAGCAGGGAAACAGAATGAGAAAGGATAGTCTGTATGCCGTATGGCAGCACAAGCTGGACATGTTTTCTCAGAAGCGAGTCCCACTGTGATCAGTCATACTAATTTCCTAGTAAGTGCTTATGATTACAGTCTCCCTGTACAGTCTAACCTTGGCCGTCTAATGTAATCCATTCTGGAAGCCCATTTGGCTTCCGAAATGTTTGACATCAGAGGAGCGGCTTCCAATTGGTTGCAGGAGCTTCCTGCACTCAAGTGTAAGCTGCGTCGGACGTTCGACTTCCAAAAAAGTTTGAAAACCGGAGCATTTACTTCCAGGTTTTCGGCGTTCAGGAGCCAAAACATTCCAAAACGGAAGTGTTCAGGAACCGAGGTTTGACTGTATTTACATAAAGGGGATGAGAGCAGAGAAGGAATACCCTTATGTTTCAACTATATTAAGAGGCCAGCAAAAACAATTCAACATGACTGAGAAGAGCTCAAGTGGCAATAACCTAAAGATCACAGTAGAGAGAAAGAGCCAAGCTAAAGGTTAGGAGATAACAGCTCAGCAATGGACTAGAGCTTATAAGTTACAGAGCTTCCTTCTTTGAAGCCCTCATGAGAAGAGCTGGAGCAAACATCTTCCAGGAACACTATGAAGAGGCAGAAAATCCAGATCTGGGGCTGGATTCTTGCTAAATTCCAATGAACGCACCCACAGACACTGGGGGACTTCCATAACTTTAGCCTGTAACAAGTCAATGTCTTGTTAAAGGGGAAGCCAGGAAGTTCATCTGTCATCTGACAGCAATAAGCTCACTGGCTGCATCTTTTGTAACCGATCCCACCCTGAAAGGACTGGCCTACCTTACAAAGTCACAATAGGCTTAACACTGGAAGGAGGGAGGGGAAGGAGAGAAAGATCTCTACAAAATGCAAGTGTTGTTGTTATTTTAAGATTCAGATGTTTTTAGTTTTGTTGCCTTCTGGCATTTCCCTTTAACACTCCAGCCCTCTTCTCCCAAAGCAGTGTTTAAGCACTGCTAACCCAAGACAACCCTTTATGTCTCAATGTGAGCAGATGAAACCAGCCCGAGAAAAACTTCCCTGTGCCACTGTGAGTCATTTCTCAGACACTGGGGTGGCTACCGGAAATCTCTGCTGAGGGTGGAAGAAGCAAAAGCAGGTCATCCTTTCAGTTTCATGCCTAGGGCACGTCAGGATTAGAAAGCTAGCCACATTTCAACTTTTCCGCCTAGGCCAGGGAAGGGATGCTAGAAAGAGGAATACAAGAGAAAGTTGAGCATGAATTGTGGGGATGGAGGAGAAGCTGTGAAAGCTTAAAAAAGAGAAAGAAAAAAACATGGGTTAGGCTCACACCAACAATTTTTTTCCAAGCAGTAGTTTTCCTTCCCAAATGAGCAAAGCCACACAACCACATTCAGCAAATGTCAAGAAGCATACAACTGGTCACCGATATGATTGAGGAATAAATCAAGAATGTTTTGTCTCCTCCCAAATCACAGGTTACAGACTCCGCTAACCCAGAAATAATACCTCGGGTTAAGAACTTTGCTTCAGGATGAGAACAGAAATTGTGCTCTGGTGGCGCGGCGGCAGCGGGAGGCCCCATTAGCTAAAGCGGTGCTATAGGTTAAGAACGGACCTCCGGAACGAATTAAGTACGTAACCAGAGGTACCACTGTATGTTCCCGTACATATCTAACACACACCCTCTAAATTGGAAGAAACTTGTATCCTAACAGCAACTCACCAACTTGCTAACATTAAAGGTAAAGGGACCCATGACCGTTAAGTCCAATCGCGGACAACTCTGGGGTTGTGGCGCTCATCTCGCTTTACTGGCCGAGGGAGCCGGCGTTTGTCCACAGACAGTTTTTCCGGATCATGTGGCCAGCATGACTAAGCCGCTTCTGGCGAACCAGAGCAGCGCACGGAAACGCCGTTTACCTTCCCACCGGAGCGGAACATTATGTTGTCATTAAAGAGAAAACTTATTTCCTAGTTCTCAGTACAGACATCTTTGAGTGTGCAGCAATGCCCTGCTTGACAATGGCGTTGGATGTTTCTGCTCTGCAATCCCTATGCAGCTTCTGTAGTCCAGGAAAATTTAAGCCTTCCTAGGGCTGAGCACAGCTGATCACAGGGAAAGCAGCCACTTTCCCAGGGCATAGGGCACTAGCACATGAGCAGTTTATGTAAACAACAGAGGAGAATACTATGCTACAAGACTTATAGAATTATAGAGTTGTAAGGTAGAAAGCTGGAGAAGGAACTGGCCACCCACTCCAGTATTTTGCCATGAACACCCCATGGACAAAATGAGAAGCTTTGAGGAGAAATTCCAACACATGCTCTGGTTCATAGGGTCACGGAGAGTCGAGCACGACTAAGAGGACTGAGATGGCGAAGGTAGCAAGCATCTCTCCCTGTACAATTAACACAAGCTTCCCTTCAGGTAAAGGAAACGAGGGATGGAATCCTTTTTTTAAAAAAAGGGACAGCCAGGAATCTTTTAAAATGCAGGAGCTTGTCAGAGAGTGTGTGTGTCTCTGCAGCAATTGTCGTTTTTTTGGCTGCAACCGCCGTCTCTCCTCCTGCCATTTGCCTCCTCCCTCTGTGCCCACGCTGCTGCTGCTGCTGCAACCGTTCGCAGCAGCCATTAAAGTCTGCCGCAGGAAAATCCAGAACAGCAAGAACACAAGAGGCCCTTTGCCGGGGCAGTGGGGCACAAGTCTCCAAACAACAAGGCCTCGGCTAGGCAAAGAGGCGGCCGCAGCTCAGATAAGAGCTCGGCAAAAACTCTTGATGTTCAAAGCGGGAGTCGGAAACGGGGAGTTGCCAGAAAAGCTGCCGTCTCAAGAGGACCACACTTTGGTCGGCGGCGGACTTTACACATGGACAGAGTTGTGCCGCAAGATTCTTAACTCTCCACGGCAAGGAGACGATTGTACCTGCCGCCACTCCTTCCACTGGGGGGCAAAGTGTCCTTTCTAGGTAGCCAGCCCTGCGAAAGAGTTTAATCAGGCGGATCCAGGCAGAAGTCGGAGGAGGAAAAGTGCTGGGGGGGACGCCATGGTTGTTTTCTCAGCAAGCAGAGAAGGAGGAGCCCCTGTACACAGAGCTAGGAAGGGGCTCTGAGATGATGCAGGCAAGGAGAAGAGGGAATGGAAGCAGACAAAAGCCCTCGCTCCCATGCCCCAATGCTCCTCTTAACTGGCACATGCGGAAGCAGATGCTGATGCAACCCCAATGAGCCTCTGGGGCAGGTTTTCCGGGTGGCAGAGGCAGCCGCAATGCCAGGCAGGGAGAGGAGGCGGCCGGTGGAAGAAGAAAAAGAAGAAGAAGGGGCACTTCAGGAAGTTAGAAGCGCCACTTCCTGACCCCTGCAAAGCCACCACCAGCGTAAAAGCCCTGCACGTATTTATTTATTTTTAAGTGCAAGAATGCAACAGGCACCCAAAGGATCTTTTCCACACTAGATAAGAGGCAAGGAGCCAACTCCAAGGGGGGCCAAGGTCCCTTCAGCCCCTCCCCAATAAAATATTGTAGGGGGCCGGAGCCCCCCCCCCAAGTTAACGGGCATTGCCATTCAAACTGGTGTGCGCCTTGCTATCCGGTTATGCCAGACCACAGGGCTTACCTGGGCCCATAGGCGTTGCCGGGTTGGAGGAGCAGCTGCTCTCCACCCCCCCAATAAATAAAAATACTTAACTCACCGCCCAGTGGCACCTTGGATAGCTCGCCCCCCCATATAAATCCTAGCTACTCCATACTTGGGGGGGGTCCCATGGGCGTAGCCAGGATTCTTGGGGGGGGGGGTTGAGCAGACTGTGGAGCAGAACCACAGTTAGTTAAGTATTTTTTATTGGATTGTGTTGGGGGGTTCAGCTGTCCCCTGCCCCCCCTTGGCTACGCCCATGGATAAGCCCCCCCCTAAGATTTCATTCAAGTTGGCACCTCTGCAGCCCACCCCGGGTTGGGGGGGTCAGATCAGGTCCCTTAAAGAGAGGGCGGAGGAGTTAGGGGTCGGCAGATGCAAATGTTGCAACCCCGGGATTTTGCACGCGCGCTTCTCCCCCGGCGGTGGTCCTTCCTCCCTCCCGGGCCTTGGCGTGGGAAAGCCGCCCCCCAATGCAAGGGGGAAAACCCTTACCAGGCTGCCCACGGTCTTCACCATCTTTGCGCGTCCTTCCGGCGGTTCCTGCGACTTCTCGGAGGCGGCTGCAGCGGCTCTTTCCGTAGCGCCGCCTCCCTGCATCGCCTTATGTATTGCAGGGCGGACAGCCCAGTCCGGGAGGAGGGGAAGGAGGAGGAGGCGGCTGCGCAGGCGCGCGGGGCTCCGTGGGAGGAGGAGGGGGACACGAGGGGGGAAGGTTGGCTGGCTCGCTCGTGCGCAGGCGCGGAGTTTCCTGCCTTTCCCTATCTCCTCCTCCTTCTCATCTGCCCCGCCCTTCAGGGAAGTCCCTGGGCTTCTGATGCGGGGGAGAGGGGGGAATCCCCGCCCCTATTTCCCTCTCCCGCTCTTCTTTTCCCAAAGGCGGGTTGGGATTGGGGAAAACAGGGAGAATAAATAAAAGGGACACGCCTTTTTATTTTTTTATTTATTTACAGATTTTTGCAGCCCGTACATACTATGTGCAAAATAAAAAAGGTTAAAAATAAATAAATCTGAAGGCAGCCCTGTTTAGTGAAACTTTTAATATTCGATGAATTATTGTATTTTAATATTTTGCTGGAAGGCGCCCAGAGTGGCTGGGGAAACCCTGCCAGATGGGCGGGGTATAATTTAATTTAATTATTTATTATTGCTTGAGCACCCACAAAATTCCCCAGGAAGGGGGGTCGGGCACCCACAAATTTCGGTGCCAGGGCCATGGCACCCCCAGCCCCCAGATGCAAGCCGACAGTCCTATGTTGCTTAGAAGTGAGCCCCCACCGAGATCATTGAATGGTAGAGTTGGAGGCGGGGCATCTAGTTTAACGCCCCCCCGCTGCAATGCCGGATTCTTTGGAATCAGCGGCAAGGTAGTTCCAAAACGTGCCCAAGGCGCAGCCAAGGGGAAGGCACGGGATGGAGGCAACTGCCCCCCAATCAAAGTAAATCAATAAAAAATACTTAACTAGCTGAGGTTCTGTTCCCCTCTAAGTCCTAGCTTTATGCCCAAGGAGCAAATGTGGGAACCAGATGCTGCTCTCGAGTAGGTGGGCGCACACGATCCTGCATGCGCGTTTGCGCAGCGTTGCTCAGTGTAAAACAACAACAAAGAGAGTCTTGTGGCATCTTTAAAGACGTGCGGATATATTGCAGCAACAAGCTTCAGTGGTAAAAAAAAAGTAATAAAAATGTTTCACTAAAATTAGAACGATTTTGACCTATTTTTCTGAGCGCTGGGAGTCAAAAGAAAGTACAACTGTGGTTGAGATGTTTTCTTCCAAATCTGCTAGGCAGAACCTGACAGAGGATGATGACAGGTGGGTGTCTTGCCACATCCCCCCTCAATAAATCCTGGCTATGCCCAGGGCTGTTGCAGACCACTTCATCTAATGCACCTTGTAGGAGCAGGGACGCGGGTGGCGCTGTGTGTTAAACCACTGCCTATCAGAAGGTCGGCGGTCACCGCTCCTGCCAACCTAGCAGTTCGAAAGCACATCAAAGTGCAAGTAGATAAATAGGTACCGCTCCAGCGGGAAGGTAAACGGCGTTTCCGTGTGCTGCTCTGGTTCGCCAGAAGCGGCTTAGTCATGCTGGCCACATGACCCAGAAGCTGTACGCCGGCTCCCTCGGCCAATAAAGCGAGATGAGCGTCACAACCCCAGAGTCGGCCATGACTGGACCTAATGGTCAGGGGCCCCTTTACCTTTATGCCCAGGGCTGTTGCAGACCACTTTATCTAATGCACCTTGCAGGAGCAGGTATACAAAGTTGGGGAGCACCTGTAAGCTGAGATCTCGATGGAATGAAATGTGGAAAAGTACAGGCAGGGATAATTACACAGGCCCACATGCGAGGTGATTGAGAGCACAGAGTTCTTGGCATGTGAACAGTTAATTAGTATTTTTTTTTTTGTAGTTTTGTTAGAGGTGTGAGCAGGTGCAGCTTGTGAGGCCAAGTCCACCTGCTGAAATCCCTTCTCCTGTTAAAGGTGCAGGAACAGGTGCCCTGTATCTGACCCCTCCAATACCACGGTGTGCTTTTGCTTGTTAATTAAAACGAAGCGGAGGCTGCAGAGCTGCAAATATACATGTATATTGGGAAGGAGAATACAGTTTCCCCCATACAATTATTTTCATTATGAAAAGGAAAGCAGCCTTGGGCAAGGTTAGCCTCGCTGCCAAACACCTGAAGCCTACGTTTGCAGTCCTAAGAACATGAGCTAAGCGATAAGTTCCATTGAACTCAGATGAATTCTGAGTAGACATGCATGGGATGTATGATCTAAGGATGTTGTTTGTTTTTTTAAAAGGGGGTTGGGTGAGATTGCATTTCATGCATCCATAATATAAGGGTAAAAGCTTCGTTGTCTGCAATGAATACTCATTTTTTAAAATGGTTGCTGAGTTTCCTGCATTGCAGATGACACTTGGCTAGGGTTACTATACATCCCCGTTGCCCTGGGACAGTTCCCAGATTTGCGAATAAGTCCCCAGACAAATTCCATCCCCGGAAAGTCCCTGGATTTCATCTAAACACAGCAGCAGCAGTCTCAGCAGCCCGGAGCAGTTGGCTCTGGCTGGCTTCAGGAGCTGCTCAGAAGTCCCCATATGATGGTGGTGCAGGGGCTCAAAGATGCAGATTCTGGGCTGCCTCCACCTCCCTGACCCCAGCAACTAAGCTGTGAAGGGAGGCTTCGTGCTGCCTATCAGAGCAGCCTCCCAACTCCTACTTGAGTGCAAGCAGGAGGGGGCAGGGATCTCTCAGTTAGGCAACGGGAAGCCTCACTTCCCAGCTGAGGGATCCCCGCCCCCTCCTGCTTGCACACAAGTAGGAATGGGATTGGGGCTGCTCCGATGGGAAGGGATCGCGCTGCCCGAGTCGCTGCTCTCGGCCCTCCTTCTCCGCCTTCCATGCCTGACCCACTGCGCACCGCTTCCCCACTACCACCACCACCGAAGAACCAACAACTTAGGGGCTGCCCAGGCTCATGGAGAAAGGAGACAGAAGCCTCGGAGGAAGGGGAAACATGGCAGTCAAGGTCAAGATGGCGGCGGCCCCTCTGCCATCGCTGCAGCATCAATGTTCCAAACGTGTAGTATTTATTTATTTAAAGTGTCCCCAGATTCATTCTGGTAACCTTACCATTGGGTTCCATCTCACTCTTAAGATTCTATAGCTTTGGCGTCTCGGCCAGAAAATCCAATTCAAACCACTTGTGGCAGTAAAAAGATAATGAAGTAAACAAATGACATTGTTCTGCCAACATGTTGTGGATACAAAACTGATGCATGAAGCAGCTTGCCTGCCATTTCCTAATATCAAGGCTGCACTACAAAAGCAGTTTCCATAGGCCTGCAGAAACAGATTTATTCAGAAGTTCAGAAAAAAAACACGAATACACACACACCATACACATACACACATACGAGAAACCCTGCTTTTTTTTATTTATCAGTTTATTTAAATTATTTGCAGATGTATTTATCTTTATTGTTGGCATGGTGCCACGGGCAAATTTGTTGGGATCAATCATTCAGAAACTAGAGGGTACCCCACCAAAATTCCACCTTGCCCAAATCTTGCAGGATAAGGATACCCATACGACCCTGAAAGTGGCTAGGTTCCTGGTCGCTGTCCTTACCCAAAAGCGTTGCCAAGGAGCACCACAAGCTAATCAAGGCGTAGTATGCCATTCCATCTTATAGTATTTTATTGTCATAGTAGTGTTTTAGCGGCTGTTTTTTCCCACGTGCACACGCTGTTATTTATGTCTTGTTTTTATCTGTATGGGCCTATGGCCGTAATAAATTATTATTATTATTATTGTTGGCACAAACCCAGAACGAGGAGCATTACAAACAGCAGGAGCAAGATTCCAGTTCAATGCAACTTGTTAGAAAATCAAACAATATGCTAACAACTACTTCAGCCAAGCCCCACTTAAGCTGAATGCTTGCAGAGGAGGAGGAGGAGTTTGGATTTGATATCCCGCTTTATCACTACCCGAAGGAGTCTCAAAGCAGCTAACATTCTCCTTTCCCTTCCTCCCCCACAACAAACACTCTGTGAGGTGAGTGGGGCTGAGAGACTTCAGAGAAGTGTGACTGGCCCAAGGTCACCCAGCAGCTGCATGTGGAGGAGCGGGGAAGTGAACCCGGTTCACCAGATTACGAGTCCACCACTCTTAACCACTACACCACACTGGCTCTCTTTTCTTGAGGGAAAAGCTACATTCTTATCTGGCATCAAAACTCAATTCCTGTTGGTTCAGATCACACCTGAAGTGAGAGCATTCCAGAGTTGGGGAGCTGCTATCAAGAACTTGATGGATATTATTATTATCATTATTATTTACATTTATATACCACCCTATACTAGTAGGTCTCAGAGGAGTTCACACAATACAAAGTTACAATATACAAAGCACAAAATACATAATAAAAATAAATGTAATAAAAATAATCAAAACAATCAACAATACTAATGTATACACACTACTAAACAATACACACCCCAACAAAAGCCCCTCCTAAACAGTAGTCCAGCCCTCAAATACAAACACGACAATAAAAATTAACATGTAACATTTAACAACAATTATTTTAAAACAACCCCACACGCCAAATAAACAGCACCCACCCTATCCCCATTAAAACAAGAAATTTGCAAGAATCCCAAAAAGGTACATGTCATCCGACCACATTGGACCGCATTCACACCTGTCCGGATAGGCCGTGAGGTGTGAAAAGACTTTAGCTTCCTCAGGTGAACTTATGCTTTGTAAAAACAGAAGTCATGCGGTTTCTGTTTTGCAAGCTGTAACACAAAACAGTGTAACTCTGGGAAGTCCAGTTTTGAATGAAACACCGTGTGGCAAATTGAGATGAGGCAAATCGGTCCCAGTTTCACAGTGTGCAGCAAAAGCCACAAGTGTTCTAAAAATAATCTCCATGGTACCATCCTGTTTCACCATGAGAATAATACCTTGCATACTGAGATCCCACGAGAGCAGTGCTAGAAACTCAGTTATACTGTATAAGCTAGGCACAAAATGGCTCCTTAAACCAAGGTTGCAGTTGCCTAAACTGAATCTCTAATTGCCATTTTTGGGCATGACAGCTCTAAAGTTTTATTTTCCA